ATGGGTCATATTCATGGGCTCCCTAGATTTTCAATATGATTTCTATTGTTCAAATGTTTTCTGCACTTTCTGTTACTGTATTTTTTGGACCATTAGGCGCGGACAAAAGTCTTAAATTTTAACAGTGAGCCTTATAATCCTGTGCGCCACGCCTCAAAAAGGTAAAAAGGGCATTGGAACATATATAAAGTTAGAAAGAGAAGTAGTAGTTTTCATTTCAACCCTTTTATTTGTCCATTTCTGGGTCGAGGGGGTTGGCAATAAGAGCTGCCACCCAATGCTCATAGCCCCAGTCCCTCGCTGATCCTCCAGCAGGTGGTGGGTCCACGGGGAGATGGCTTCTCAGCCTTGTTATTTCAGCAGGGGCTTCAGGCAATATGGGGTTAAGTGTCTTGCCCAAGGACACAATGACAGTAGGCATTTGTGGGAGCAGTTGGAGTAGGTCCCATGGTGAGCTCGAACCCACGACCTTCAGGCCCAGAGGCCAATGCTCTACCAAGTGAGCTATTTTCATTTAATTTCAACATTTTACCCAGAGCCCACAATCCACATGTGGATCATTATCATCCTCCCACTTGATCTTTTCCCCTCTGTCGATGCCTGAGCAATTAACCAGGCATTTGTAGTTCTTTATTGTCGACTTGGCAGCTGCCTCCAGTCTGCTCATTTCCTCCTGAGAGCCGACTGCCCTCTCCCCAGACGCCTCCATTGATTACAGCCGCTGATAGGCCTGAGCCATCAGGGAGCCCACTCTATAGCAGAGACCCGCTGTCTGGTCCCATCTGCACTGAACTCACATCTGCAAGGTTACAGGAGTGTGCGCTGTTCTGCTTGGAAATAATGTAAGTCACTCAAATACAAGCACAACCTCATTCCAAGTTGAACACTCGTAGATGTGTTGGCCATTAGACGAGCTCGATAACTGGAGACTGGATCGGTGAAATGAGTCAAAGCGTCACTGCTCTCTCACATTGTGTTGTAGGAAAGGGCTGTTGATTTTTTCAAGGGCACTTCAATTATCCACAAAGTTTCAATGGCTCCTGTGTTTGTTTCAATGATAATAATGCAATAAAGATAAGATGAGATATACGTGTTGATCTCTCTATGGTGAAATGTAAAACTATTGAGCGGTTGATATTGAGCGGTTGATATATGCACACAAAGTACAATTTTGGTTTTTGGTGTTATATTGAGATTATCTTTTTCCATTTTTTTCAGTTTCACTTATGTATCTCTGTGTGGGTTTATACTGTATCCTGTGCTCCTGTTTTCTGGTTTTCTCTCTTTCTTGTTGGCGTGATCAGTCCGAGCGACCTGTTTAGATCAATCGGCCTGACCACACCTACTCAGGAAGTAATATCAGCTGAAAAATGACATGTCACCAAGGCCAGTGACAATTCTAAAGTAAGGTAGTACATATAACTTGTCTTTCAAAAGAACCACAAAACAACATTTCAACTCAACACGAAAACAACAATTTCATGATTAATTATTGTGGGTACATAGCTTCCTTAAATTTTCTATTTTTGAGTTATCTCTCATTAAATTATATTATTTGCTATTCTGCGTTTTGGATCCTCTTTTTTTTCTTTTATTTCTCGCTTCTCAGCAAGAAGGTCATGGATTCAAGCCCCGTTTGGAACAGGGCCTTTCTGAGTTGAGTTTGCTTGTTCTTCCCGTGTCTGCGTAGGTTTCCTCCGGGTGCTCCTGTTTCCCCTACCACTAAAAAAATGCACAATATCTATATAGGTATGAATGTAAATGAGAGAGTGAATGGATGGTGTTGATTGGGGGCTGATGTTCGGCGGTGGGTGTTCGGCGACTCGCTTCCATCATCACCGTGTGTGGAATGATTGGAACAATATCTGAACTCTGAACATTGTAAAGCGCTTTGGGTGACCTGGGTCTGTAAAATGTGCTATATAAATAAACATTACTTACTTACTTTCTACATGGCACTTAAATCAGGGAAACCTATTGTCCCCAATGCAGAAACGTGAAGAATGTGAATCAGTCAGCTGTTCCCACAAACTCAACGGATGGGTCAAATGTAGAGGACAAATGTGGCCATGGGTAAAACAAAGAATACCTTAACAACCATGAAATCTATTAATTACGGGGGCGTTGAGTGACTTTCAAACCGCTTTGTCAAAACTGACAAACAAAAACAATCAGAAGACTGCTCCAGGCGGGTACGCCGAGTACAAAAAAAGTTTAATATTAGCAGCTGACAGTGCCCAGCAGTCTTAACATTCATAACAAACACAACACAAAAAAACAAATTCTATTCTTCAAACTTTTATAGATAACCAATCTATTGTGTTATGTCCATGTCTGTCCTTGTAGGTAGGAATACAGGGGTTTAGAACTGTCAACAATACAAACCTGAGATGTGTTAAACAAGAGACCAGTCTGAATGATCCACCACCAGTCATATACTCAAATGGAAAGAGTAAAGTGCAGCAATGAGAAGCTTACCTGGGGTAAGTGTTGATAAGAGAATTAGTGTTGTTTGAAACATCAGAGTTTGATCAAAAACCTCCAACTCCAACAACAGGAGAGTACCAGCCCTCGGAAGGATCAGAAACAAGCTTCCTGTCTAGCTATGTTCAAAGTTGAAGATCCAGGTTTAAAACATACAAGTTGTGCGAATGAATGGGTTTGTTGTGCATTTTCATATTCTATTGTGACAAGTCCAACGACAATTGTGTTTCAGTAGTGTGAATTTAACACACTCTGACTGGACTGTGTGTGTGTGTGCCTCAGAGAGTTATCTTGACAAGACTTATGGCAACCAAAAAATCCCATCCCTATCACTGACTGTCTAATGTGAGGCTACAAGGTATTACAGAGGGGCCTGCTAACATGTGGAGCGATGCATCCGACAGTCTAGTGTGTGTGAGTTTGTGTGTGTGTGTTAAAATTAGAACAAAACAAAAAAACCACTAACCCAGCCCTCGACATAGATTTTCCCGACCCCTTTGATTCCCCACCTTCTCGTTTCCCTCGCTCCTAACGCGTCGGCAGTAATGGCTGGTGTGTGATTGTTATGATCCTCTTCAGTTGTAACCCAGTCAGACATGTCATTATAAAACCATCGTGCTGTGTGGAGAAGCAGGTGAGAGGTTCATTAGAGGTGGAAATCCGCTTCGCTTTTTTCCTGCTTACGTTACTCAATGGCTGTGCATAAATTTGCACTTTGGTCGATAATAGCCAACACTTTTTAACCTGCTGCTAGATAAGCGCTTTGAGTGGTTAAAGAGAGCGGTAAAGACAAATCAATTGTAATCTATGGTGGTTAGTTTGGACATATCTGAGCTTCCCAACACAATTTCAACTGTGTTTGACAAATTTGAACTATTACTTATACTTTGCGTAAGTAATATGTTGGACTTTTAGCAGTGGCCTAATAATACTGTTTACTTTTGAGGTAATTGTTTAGATGGTCTAAGCCAGGGGTGGCAAACTCATTTTGGTCAACTAGTCGGGGGACGAAAGAAGAAAATTAATTTACTTTTCTTATGATTGTTTTCACATTACATTATGAATACCTTTAATGTAAGTCCTGGTTGATTTTTTTTCTAAAAACTATTATTGTTTCAATTTAACCAAAAACAGACCAAATATAATAATGCATCGGTTTTATATAGCGCTTTTTTGGACATTCAAAGACGCTTTACATGTCATTATTCATTCATTCCATACATGGTGGTGATAAACTACTACTGTAGCCACAGCTGCCTGGGGCACACTGACAGAAGCGAGGCAACAGTATGCACCATCGGCCCTCCGACCACCACAACCATTCACACACACACCAGACTCATTCCAGGCAATGGGGGAGAGTGTATTGCCTAAGGACACAACATTCAGGGCGCCGCCCACTGGGTGTGTTCTAGAGGTTATGTTTGCAAGCGGCAGCCGCCAGCCGGACTGCTGGCTGCAGTGTTGCGCTAGGGCTTGAACCCGTCTTTGGTCCAAGGACACAACGTTTTTTTTTTACAGCAGGAGCTCGATGGTGAAATCAGTTTTCAATTCCTTATTCCATTCACTTGAAGTTGGTTACAATGTTAGTCCATACATAAAGTTTTCTTCTTGATCAATCACTACTGTAACATGCTTGGTAAGCCCATCACCAACCGTCTACGTTAATCCACCGTTTGCCACACAATCATATGGGGCCCACCGCCATGCGTCAGTATGCCTGTAGGTCACCCTGCCCCCTGACTATAGTTAAGGATACTAACCTCATTATAAATCCATTAATTATATATAATATAATAAATATTATATATATAAATATATTATAATATATATATTATAAAATATATAATATTATTATTTATATATATATATATATAATAATTATATATTATATTTATTAATATATATTATAATTATAATAATTAATTATATATATATTAAAATAGTTTATATATATAATAAAATATAAAAAAATAAAAATTAAAATATATATTATTATAAATAATAAATATATTTTAATTTATATAAATAATATATTATATATATTATATAATATATATATATATAATTTATATAATATTATATTATAATAATATAATATATTAATATTAATATTTTAAAATAATAAAAAAAATAATAAATATAATTTAAATATATTATTTATATATATTTAAAAAATATATAATAAATATATAAAAAAAATAAGATAAATCCAATAGCCCAACCGCAGGCGAACACCCAAACATACCCCCCCGCGCCTGCAAGCTCGGCTGCCCCGCCCCGAGGCCCAGCACCATATGGCTGCACTAGGCTATCAAGAGCGAAGGGGAGAGTAGACCCACGGCCCCCACCACGACTAGCCTGCACCCATGGATATGGCCGCGAGTATAATGCCCGCAATATACTCAGAACCACCCCATAAGATTTGGCCCCCCCCCCAGAGGCTGTCGGTGTCAATCGTGATCAGGTCCCCCCCCCATGACCAAAAGGCCACATGCACCCGATACATAAAAGGTCTAACCCGCCCAGACTACAATCCCCCCAACCAGAACCCCGTTGGTTGCGCTCAGAAAGGAGTTTAGAACCGGCGGTCCGTCCGTCTGGACCCATTCTTGCAAGGCTGGAGCCCCAACGGACAACAGTCCGACCATGTAAGGCGTCAGCCCCCGCAGAGTCCAGTGGCGGCGCAAACAAACCCTTCCATGCACCCCCATCACGCCCCAACCCAGGCAGGTTCCCACAAGGCGTAACGGGAGTTCGCCGCGACCCGTCGCAGCAACTATTCGGGGGCGGGGAAAACATATGAGGCCCTCTATCCTGTCCGATAACCCCCGACAAACAACCATCTTGCTATAATATCCTTCCGCCATTTCTCATCCGAACACTCATGATGCCCCCAGCACGAGTCAACCGGCAATCGCATGACCATCCTCCCGTATTTCTCCCCGACATTCTCCGCCCCTTTGTCGTACACCACAATCGCCCAAACCAAAATACAATAACCCCCGTAACCAACCCACACAATGATCCAACGCATTAGACTAGAATAAGCAAGCCCCCCCAACGTATTATACACCAAAACAGAAAGCCTTGCCCAGAGTTGCCCCCAGAATCCCTTAACCGGGTTGTCCACAAAGGCCAGGCATACTAGAACTCCCGGGATCCCCCACACACATATATCTCAATAGTCAATCCCCACCCCGGACACATCTGCCCCTAAACCATTGATGTCACACTCAATTTAACCAAGACGACAATATATACCCCCCCTATCTCAAATAAACCTCAAAACCTCATATCAAATGTAATCAAGTGCCCAATCCAACACCAGAATGTCCCATCCATGGTCGCTATCCTGTCCTGAATTCCTTAAAAATAAATATAACCCACCAAAATGTCCAAAAAACATAAGCGCAACAAAATATCCCCCCCATAAGGAAAACCATCCCATCAGAATTATTTTGAGATTGTTATGATGACAACCCATCCCCCTTATAGTCTACCCCGCAAGTTCACCCCCCCCTATTGAAACTCGACACTACCCCACAGTTCACGAAACACCCCAAAACCACCAAAACATCCAAGGTCCGTACCAACCCCTGCACTGCATGAATAGTTACAATCCATAAATAGTAATTATACCCGACCCCAAACCAAAATATACCCGCCCATCCGCAAACCCCCAACAATAACTCATAACATTCCCAGTTCCCCCCCAACCCATTATCTAACAATCTATCTATATTATAAATATTTTTTTCATATTTCTTTATTATTAATATTAATAACACCATTCTATACACAATCCTAACAAATACTCACTATAATCCATCACATTTATTCTCCTCTCTCTTTTTCTCACCCTTCATTCATCAAACCATCACCCTCCTACTTAACCCCATATAACCATCATATTCCCTTTTCTAACTACCTACAACATACTTCAAAACCCAACACCTATAAATAACAACCCCCCTTCCATATAAACATTATACTCACTACTAAACAACAATCAACCCCCATTCTCCCTAACCACCAACCCCTCACCCTAACACTTCCACCATTAAAAACCCTTAAAAAATTCCCCAACCCTCTATTATTACCACACAGACCCCCTCATATTTCCAATCCTCCTCTCTTCCCCTTACATATACATACTCCCCTAACCCCCCACCCCCCCCCCCCCACTCACCAAATTCCATTTTTCAGATAAGACTTCCCCCCCTCATTACAAACTTCTCCTTCTAACACCTACCACCACTTCCATATAATTTTACCGCGTACATCATCTCACCTTACACCCCTAAAAACATCCCACATAACATAATGTACATCTACCCACCCATGCCTACATGCCTTAATAAAACTTACACACACATCCCCCAATTCCTTACCCCCATCCCCCACATCCCGTATAATCACTCCATGTCCCATCTATTACCCCCCCCCCCCCCCCCCCCCCCCCCCCCACCCCCCCCCCCCCAACCAATAAAAAATCCTTACCCACGCCCCCGCCTCGTACACGTAAGCCACCATATGTAAATGGCAGAGCCCCGTACACCCCCCCTAGTTGTTACCGACCCAACCGTTATTGATTACCCATTGGACGCTATCCCCCACCTAAGGATTATATCCCTTTCCTACTAAATCTACGCAACCATCACACTAAACCCCAGAAAACCACAAGGTCCCATCCTAGAGACTGAAGAAATCTATATAGAAAACCCAAGAAAACCAACAATATGCGCAATGGAACAGTATAAGAATACCCTATACACCCCCACCCCAATGTTATCAATGAATCAATCCGTTATCCCCACTCTGTAAGAGATAGAAAACCACCCAGCGGAACTAGATATTTTTTTTCCCACCCCCCCCCCCCATCATTACCCCACACCCCCCTTTCCCCCCCCAACACCCCCTCCCCAATTCCCCCCCCCCCCCCCCCCCCCCAACCCCCCCCTACTCCCCCCACCCCACGTTTAAAAGTGCCCCCCCCCCCCGGGGGGGGGTGTGTGTGTGTAGCAGGGCGGGGCGCCCTGTGGCATGTTTGAGTATCGGGCCCATCGTCAGACCACAGCAGTTAGTCCCCGCACACGAGGCTGCTTTTCCCAAGCCGAGCCAGTCTCCCCGAGCCTTTATTTACATCGCCGATCCACGACACGGGTGGTTAAACTACTTCGTACCCTCCCCTTTAGCAGCTTGCCATCTTAGACCCATTTTTCATCATTTACGATAATCATAACAAACAAAAACAAACTGTAAAATATGTTCTCAAATCTCCTGAGGCTCCCACAGCAGGCGGAACAGTGAGGCTGGTGTCAGTGTATGTGGGCATTTGGCCACCTACGGACCCAGAAATGGATTAAAGGGGGTACGACATGGATGGGATAGTCCTTCTCACACATTGCAACCAAGCTACAAAGGACAACACCCAATTGAAGCTGCCCTTGCAATCCTTAGATCGGAGACAAGTACCCATGTACAGGAACCTTGATGACTTTACCCTTGGTGTTGCGTGATGACACCGCTATGCCAGCAGCCGGGACTTTGTTCTATTTTGTGAAACCAATACCCCTTAGCACACTCGGACAAGCAGCCATTGGGTGGTGGAGGTGTGAGGAACCACTACCCCTGCCCTGTTAGCAGGGAATAGGTGGTGTAACACATGAACGCTAAACACTATAGGGATATTACAAGACCTTGAGGTTCTTTTGTGTGTTTTGGAACAGAGGACGTGAGAACTGGCGGGACGAAAAAAGGGGCCAAATATGCACATCAAAATGGAGCATCTCACGGGCTGTGGATTCATAGGGACCCGGCAAGACCAGCAACACCCAGCAACCCAGCGGCCATCTTTCAACGAGAGAGACACAACGAGACCAGACATCAGACAGACCTCACGACCCGCCAAGTGTCTTTGCAATGAAGCCGTCGGTGCAAGAGTGGGAGGCAGGAGGTCAGCGGATGTGAACCGCGGGTACACCGGTTTCATAAGGGTCCAAGAGCAGGACTGTGAGAAACAGGACCAGGCCTTGAGGGCATAGTCTCGGATATTATGCTGTGTCTGCAAAACACCGTAATTTTTCATGAACCTTCCCAATCCATTTTCGTATAGCACCAGGGTACAGCTGTAGTTATCTGTGATTCTCTGATACAGTGTTGTGAAAGTCCTCAAATCTCGAGAGACTAGCCTTTATTGCTCACCACAGGATACATTGGCAAGGATTAAAAAAACTCAAGATCGGCCAAATAAAGACATCTGCAACTATTTATTAGGAGGATATCTGCTGTTCGACTAAAAACTTGGTACATTCAAAGCTGCAATAAGAAACCAGTGTCAATAGTAGTTGAAACCAATAATGTGTTCATCCGAACCAAGACTCGCACAATATAGGAGTGTTCTGTGGTGTGTTGTATCAATGATGATCGTAACTGTGTTGGTTTGTATGGCCTGAAATCCAAAATACAAAAATTCACGTTTTATTAGGAGCACTTTATGTCTTGGAGGATGGAGAAATCCTCTGGGCGGCCAAAACTTCCAATCAAACGTCCAATCTTGCAAATCTAAGATTCCACAGTTTTATGCTAGAGTGTTGCTAGCAATAAGCCAAATACTCTGTCAATGTTGGGTTTTCCGAGAATCAGACATTCACTAGTTTGTTCTAAATATGGGAGCTTACCCCTGCTTTGAGTTAGGTCACTAGCTCTATGCCCATCTGTCCATTAACGACTTTAATGTTGATTGGGTCACATTGATGAAGAAAGAGAAATGGCTGCCAAAATCGCTAATAAAAGTGCATATGTCAACCACAAACCAAATGTAATTATTGTACTGGCTTTGCCAAAAATAACCCTTATCCCTAGCGCTCCAAGGCGTGTTAAAGTCCTCTAAATTCTTTGGCTATCAAATGGATTTTTTTCGTCAATTATGTGAAATTTGTGCAAAGCATTTCAAGTTCTACAATAACTGATTCGTAAGACTTTTTAAACAGAGGTACTGAGAACAAAGCAGGCGAAGACCATTGCATGTGAAAGATGTAGAACGAAAGCAACAAATTGAGAATGTGTAGAGTCTTTGATTTACTGTCGTGTGGACTGGATCCCTTTCATTAAGTGATGATGTTTCCTACAAGAATTTTTTCACACACTGTAGAAACACAGCTGAGGGCACATGACAGACTGAAGGCACTCAGTATTTACATTGACTCCATCACTCACATTTTTGTTTCCAAAACTGCGCGGTTTTTCAGGTGTCCAGTTTCCCCAACCACTAAAAAACAGTACACTATAGAATCCAACACATTTGCACAGGGCTTTGTAAAAGCTTATTATTACATGTCGAATAAGCGTAGAATAATGAAACTTGCAGCAAGAAAACTAACTTACCTTAGGTTAATTTTTAATATTTTTACATGTAGATTTTTATTTATTGATCACCACAAAATACGTTGAAGATTTTCTGTTTTGTCCCCCCCCCCCCCCCCCCCCCCCCCCCCCCCCCCCCCCCCCCCCCCCCCCCCCCCCCCCCACCCCCCCCCCCCCCCCCCCCCCCCCCCCCCCCCCCCCCCCCCCCCCCCCCCCCCCCCCCCCCCCCCCCCCCCCCCCCCCCCCCCCCCCCCCCCCCCCCCCCCCCCCCCCCCCCCCCCCCCCCCCCCCCCCCCCCCCCCCCCCCCCCCCCCCCCCCCCCCCCCCCCCCCCCCCCCCCCCCCCCCCCCCCCCCCCCCCCCCCCCCCCCCCCCCCCCCCCCCCCCCCCCCCCCCCCCCCCACCCCCCCCCCCCCCCCCCCCCCCCCCCCCCCCCCCCCCCCCCCCCCCCCCCCCCCCCCCCCCCCCCCCCCCCCCCCCCCCCCCCCCCCCCCCCCCCCCCC